AATAAAATATAATAGCAGACCATCCTTATTTTTTTACATTAACAGGTCATGGTTATACTGAGTCAATCTATCCTTTGTAAATACAGGGCTTCTTTCCTTAATTTAACATACCAACCTCTGCCTGGGCAATACTTGGCAGTAATATTTAATTTATAGATAAGAATAATCATACTTGGCAATACTCCCCAAACATTGGCAATACTTTCCAGTAATATTTAATTTATACATAAGAATAATCATACTTCTGATACATTCTAGCTGTATTCTCTGCCCCCCCCACCAGAGTTGCATTTGGAAACTGCAATGGATTAGCTGTGGTGGATTTTATACAGAAGACAGTACTGTTAAGCATGGGGACCATGGATCTATATAGATCAAGTGACATATACCAGCGACAGCCACGCTCTCCTAGGAGGAACAAGCAGTTCATTGCAGGTAGGAAATAAAACAAGATGGGTTATGAACTGGTTTACTCATCTGTTTTCTTATTTTCAAATTTGTCTTCTCTAATATTATTCAAATGTATGGTAGTATAAACTCCACATGATTTATAATATCACATAAGTAAAATGAAATGGACAGAAACAAAGTAGAATCTTTGAAAGGTAAGTGAGGTGTTAAAAGTCAACTATGTGTTGAAGTTATTTTAGATTGCATTTCTAAGAAATAATACAATAACGAATTTTTAAATGTAAAAATGCTATTAAAATCATTGTTCTTTGGTTGAAAATGCTGCCTACAACTTTGTTATAAATATGGCCCCCTTTAAAAGATAATTTAAGATCATTTACTCCTCTTAATTTTATAAATAACTACATATTGTAACTGTCACCTTTTCCTAACAGATGATGACTTATTGGAAATGTCTTCAGAAATACAATAAATATCATTAATCTTTTTTAAAAATGCCATGAAAATTGGCATTCCCTTTTGACAGGACAAATAAATTGATTTATCATCAGAAAAGAAAGAAATATAAGGTTAACTTGGACATAATGTAAAATTTTGATGTACTAAATTATCTAAAAATTTACTAGAATTTCAATATATATCCACATAAATCATTTCATAAACACTGTCAAAAGTATATGTATTTTTTTAGTTTTCTAAAGTAAATATTAGGGAAAAGTTTTGCAGATGACAATTATTCTATAGTAATCTGTGTTATTTTAGACAATTTTTTAAATTTTCTACTCTCTTTTGCTTAAAACAGTCAATTGGATATTTAGGTCTTTACTGAACATACCCATGCAAAGAATATTTCATAATAAAAATTATAATCATATATGATGATAGTTCTTTTTTTCTAAAGTGCATTTATGCCAAATTTAACATTTAAATATGATAACAAATTAATTTTTCTTTCGACTAATAAAATTGAAACACTGAAATTTTCCTTTCGTTACCCTTACTTTTTTTTTTTTTTTTCAGAACTGGGATTGAACTCAGACTCTTGCACTTGCCAGGGAAGCACTTATTCCACTGAGCCATCTCCCCAGCCCCTGTTACCCTTTCTTTTATTAACTTCAATTACTAGTTAAGATCCTTCTTAGGAGCACAAAATTTCTCCTACAGAATCTGAGGAGTTGTTTTAGGGATCTCAACTTTTACCAATATTTTAGGATAACTAGAATTTTAAAGTTCTATGTGCTCTGTTTTCACCAATACTAGATTTTTAAAGAACAAAATAGAAATTCTACATAAATGTACCATCAAATTCCCTCATGATTGGGAAAAAGAAGGTTGATTTTTGAAAGTTCATGGTCTCTAGTATAAAAAGATGTCAGGATAGTAAGTATGGCATCATTTGCAAAGCTGAAAACACCAATCAAAAAACTTTTGAGTCACCTGACAGCATGAGTTTTACTTGCTGACATGAATAGTGTGGTGAAAAAGTCAGTATTTTTTTCATAGAAAAACTAATTTAATTTAAACTTGTTAAGTCTCACAAATTAGTGCGACAGTTTAGAATTTTCAGGACTTTAAAATGGGAAAAAGTATCATGAACTTGGTCTATATTATACAAGTTAACTGCAGTGTACTCACTTTATATTATAATATGAAGAGTAAGGCCTAAAATCCCTCAGTATACTTTTTAATTGCTAGAAGATTAAAAGCAATCATTTTGGACCAGGGAGATAGCTGAGTGGCTTAAATACCTATCTGGCAAACTCAAGGTCCTTGAGTTGATTCTCAGTACCAAAAAAAAAGACAATCATTTTTATATTAATGAAATAATTTCTACATATTACAAGTCAAGTAAATGTACATATATGAAAAATATGCCATCATTTTCTATATTTGATTAAATAAAATTGCTACAGCATTTTCATCATTCATCTATCACCTCTTTCTAATTGATTTATTTTTTTAATATCTCCTTTCTGATTTGATTACCTAATCTTGCTGCAATTTCTTCATCTTGGCTGTTCTAGATTTTGGTATGATATCACTTCCTTTCACTTTAGACTATTTTTCTCTCTTTCCTGTGCCTGCTGCTGATGCTGGTGTTCTGGCATGTTCCAAAGACAACTTTTGCATGCGTGGCCTGTCTAACTTTTATCCTGATTTAACGAAACGGATCCGTACTTCCTATCAGAGTAAGTTTTATAAAGGTTAGGCAAATAGCATTTTTGAGTTGTAATGCTTGACTTAATTTCATATATCCATACTCAGTAATGTGTTTTTTAAAAAAACACATTCAACATGCATGCAAGTTTTTGTTTTTTATGTAAATGCAACATGATAATTTTAAAATAATTATATATGCATTTTAAGTCATCACTGTCATTAACTCATTTATTCATACTTTTTGATTCAGTGTTCATATCAAACCCTGCAGACTATGTCCTTTCAGTCAAAGAATCACTGTCTTTTGTTTTGAGGACTAAGCGTTATGGTGTCTTTATAAATTAAAAAAGAAAACTAATAAGCTATATCAATAGTTAATGATTTCTTACTTTAGAAACGTACTTTTGTCCATTTTATAACATTTTTATAACCAGTAGCATAATATTTGTTTCTAACTAAGTTCCTAATTTTGGATGCTTTTTATAAAAACACAAACCCAAGTCCACATTCTCATACATTAGTTTTAGGTTCAAACACTATGAACAAGGAATCTAATATTAATATTAACATTTCTTATGCCAGCAAATGCACATCTAAAGGTGACTGCAGTAAAAAATTCTAAAAGCAAGTACAAAGTGTGAGGATTAAAGCTGTTTGTGACTGGAAGTGTAGACCATATAAGTGACAAGGGTAAAATATATTGACATGAAAAACATTTATATTAATATATTATATAGAAAATTAAGTTGCTTATTAATATATACACAATGACCTTATCTTTGCATAAAATATGCAAACATATATACGTTTGTTTGTGTATATATATACCAACACACAAATGTTCATACAGGTATATTGTTTATAACCTGAATTTCTTCAGACCTCACCAGTTTATTCATACTAATGGAATCACATCAGTTACAAAACCTAAAATTTTACTTGTTTGTACCCCTAACTTAAGTTGCCTCTCTGAAATCCTTAAAATTTTTCTTTAATGATCAATAATATATTTGGCTAAAAATATTGCCTAATTTTCAACTGTAGCAATGAACCCATTTGAGGTTATATCCTACTGTCTCTGTTTCTGATGCTTGCTTTCTTTCTTTCTTTCTTTCTTTCTTTTTTTCTTTCTTTATTTTTAGTACAGGGTATACAGGATGTACATGGTCTCACTGTGTAGATCAGACTCTTAGTGATCCTTCTGTTTACAGCCTCCCAAGTGCTGGGATTACAGGCATGTGCCTCCACTCCTAGTCTCAATCCCCATCTCAGCTTTCCCTGGGGGCAGGACCAGCCCTGCAGGCCTGGGGATTGAACTCCTGGCCCCGTATCCACTGGGCTATTTGACCGGTCATTTCTGATGCTTCATGTGAAAACACTGATGCATATCTTGGCTTCTGATGCTCCTAAAACAGAAAGCTATTAGATATTTTGACATTTCTGGACACTTGAAAGTTATGTAAATTTTAATTTAACTAATAACGTTTTATTGTAACACAGCCACACTCAAAATTCATTTGCATCTTTTCAGTGTCTACTTTCGTACTACAATGGCAGAGTTAAGTAGTTGCAACAAAAAGCACATAGCACACAAGGCCTAAAATATTTACTATGATATTCTTTTTTTTTTCTTTTTTAAAATGTATTTTGTACAGGGTCTTACTATGCAGCTCAAACTCGTAGTGATCCTTCTGTTCTCAGCCTCCCCAGCACTGGGATTACAAGCGTGGGCCACCACACCTGGTCTCTGTTGCTGGCTCAGGGAGCCTGGGGGTGGGGCCGTGGTATGACATGTGGAGGCCAGGATCGAACCCTGGTCCTGAGCCTGTCTAAGCAGATGCTTAGCCCACTGAAATATCTTGCTGGCCTACTATGATGTTCTTCACATAAAAAATTTGCTGGCATTTGTCCTTTACAGTACCATTCTTTTATATCCATCTCCTACAACTACATAAAGGGTTTCAGCCAAAATCTTAATTCTAAATAGTCTCCAAAATGTTTGAATTCCAATTTGGCTCTCTGAACCTAGAATCCCTCTGTATTATATGTATGTGTATATTCATATTCAGTGCAGTAGGAAAATTCCTAGAATTTAAGAGAGGGTTTTACAAATTTGTTCTTTTACCTTTATTATATATTCTAATTTTTCTATAGAAATATGTAATACTTTGCATGTAAAAAAACAAAGAATATCCTGAGGATAAGAAATGAAGGAATTCTGCCATGCTGGCCATCTTATAAAGGTTGAAAAAGTTTTAGGAAATGATCATTAATTTTATATTCCCTTCAGAATAAAATATCAAAGCTTTTATACCTTTATTTATACCCCAAATACAATTCCTGTTTAAATTCAAAATGGATATTTTTAATTTTTCCATAAAAAATACTTCACTTAAACCAACTGTTTTTATCTTACTATCCTTATGTTTTATGCAGATGCTTTCCTTTCTAGAAATGACCTACTGCAAGTTGACCTTGTCCTGCCACCAGAGCACTGCTGGGCTAATTTGTTTGCTCAAATGTGTGTGGTAACTGTGGCATACAGATAGATGAGTATACAGTAGTGTCTGCAATGTTTGGATTCATTTGTATGGCTACTTATTTTTAGATTTAGTCTGTACCTTTATAAATGCATGGGAAGGATTTGAAGAGCACATCAGTTAAAGATTCTAAATTTGAATTTAAAAAATACTAGTAAGAGGGCTGGCAGTATAGCTCAGCAGACTAAGTGCTTGCTTAGGTAAGCTCAGGAGCCAGGATTCGATCCCTGGCTCCGTATGCGGCACCAGCCCTGCCTCCAGGTGAGCTGAGCTGGGGATGGAGTCCAAGCGCAGTAGCACATGCCTATAATCCCAGCACTTGGG